GTATGAACTCCTCTCCTCTTAGCCTTCTCCCCCTTCCCAAAATAACATGGTTCCCAAAATTGAACTTTCTTCATTTGTGCTATTGGATTTTTCAGCCAATTTCATAATAGTACCTAGGGACTGAAAGTGTGTACTCACAAAGATGCCATGGTAACAGAAGTTCAACAAAACTTTGCTTATAAAACAATGGTTCTGAACCAAGGAGTATGCACCAAAAACACAAGGAGAAACTTATTAACATTTTCATGCCTTGGACCCAGAATATCTAAAGTGTAGAAAATTGACAACTGTCACAAAATATCATGGTGGAAAACTGATGGCTCCATGTTCATTAGTGTTCTCCAAGAAGCAGATGTCAAGTCCAGATTAGAGGTGCAAACATTTAGGGGGATACTTGTGATGGATAAAGAAGAGGGAGCTGGAGATGGCAAGGAGCATCTTCAGATCATGATGCAGCCCTAACACCCCTGCAGGAAGGAGGATTTTGCACAGAGACCCTCAGACTGCAGGGCAGGTCCAAGGAAGCTGAGGCTAGGCCAGTGGTAAATCCTTAAGCCAAAGTCACATGTTATAGGAGCCCCCCATCCGGGAGGAACGGGCCTGCATTAACACACATACAGTGCACAATCACTGACTGCCCTCAGCTCCTGGTGGATCACCAGGGCCAGCAGCTGGGAACACCAGTCAACTGTGCTCCTAGCAGCAGCAGAGCTGAGTGCATTTTCATGGCCACCACGCTACGGTAAAGAGGAAACACCGCAAGAAGAAACAACAGAGATTTATAATTTTAGTTCTTGTTCTGTCACTCCTTGGCATGTGATTTTAGACAAGTTAGCTATGAGCCTTCATTTCTTCATCTGAACAATGAAAATAATAACACTCGCCTAGTCTGTGTCAAAGTGTTATTACAATTATCAAAGAAAATGAGTGTGAAAGTGCTTTGAAAAGGTACAGTAAAATAGAAAAAATGTAAATCTTATTGGAAGGCATTGCCCAAAGACCATCGTTAGATTTTTAAAAAGGAACAATGTCATGATAATAATTACGAGAACATGAAATTTTTATTAAAAATAAAATCAATGTTTAATCAACTTTCTAGGCAAAAATCTCATGTCTCTTTTAAACATCTGACATACACATCTAGTTTTACAACTGAGCCATCCATTCATTATTATTATTCATTCATTCATTGTCTCATCAAATATTTACTGAGTATCTGATAGGTTCCAGGTCCTCTTTAGCAACTAGAGTTACAGAGAAGAATTTAAAAAGCTCACTACAAAAGAAATGTTTATATTACCATGTGTGTGGATGAAGACTTGTGGCCAGGAAGTGTCCTTTTCATGTCCCTTACAGACACAACTTTTATGGCTCTAGCTACAGATGAGAATGACGTGAATAACTCTTCTTTTATTTTATCAATTTTTCCCCTTAAAACTGTAGATTGTTCTCTGGCGGCCGGTAACAGCTGAACTTATTGAGAAGAAAACAGAAGTCCATTTTTTTGTGAATGCATCTGATGTAAGCACTGTGAAAGCCCATTTAAAGATGAACAGCATTTTATTCAGGTAGGCATCATTTAATGCATATTGAGTAGCTGTTATAAACACCTATTATGCGTTTGACTAAGGGCTGATATCATTGCCTCCAGGAAAAATAAAATATATTAAACATAGTGTTATAGAAGTCGCTGAAATGGACTGGTGATAAAGCCCATGCTCCAGCTCTGTGACCCTGGACAAGTGGTTTAACCTCTTGTGACCTCAGTCTCTTAACTGAAACGAAGGTTAGACTCAATGATCGGTAGAGCCTCTCTTAGTTCCTTTGTGCCTACTCTGCACCCAGACTTGGGGAGCAAATTTGTCATTCATCTCGGTAGGCTTTGTGGTATCTCTTGAAAAAGCAGCTGCTTAGGGTGATTTAGCTTTTGCCAATTCTTCCTTCACAAAGTCAGTGAACATTTCTGAATATTTGGCCCCAAACTAAAAAGTGTTAACAGGTGCTCCAACTCTGCATAGATCCTGGGTTGGAGGCTGGTACTGCCATCTGCCACCTGTGTGACCCTGTGGGAATTATTAATATTAAACTCTCTGTACCTCAGTTTTGTAAATTAGGGATAAAAGTAGCACCTATCACGTGGATTAAATTATTTCATTTTTTAAAAAAGTGTATCCGGTGCAATTTCTGTTCAGAGCCCACACCTTCGTCCTTTTGGATCCTCCTGCCCATTGTATCCCCTCCATATCCACTGCCCAGCCGCCAGGGTCCTCCTGCTGGCCCAGTGCCTTCCTTGAGACCATGCTCTCTTCTGTGTTTCAATGGGTAACCTCTAGATAATATGCTATAATAATTATTAGTAATATACTATTAGTGTTCACTATTTTCCAGGAACTATGCTGATCCTTTCTATACATTGTATCATTTAATCTTCATTTAATCC